GGACGACGTTCTGAAATACGTCAGGGAGATCTTCTTCAGCTGATGTTGCCTCCCCACTGGCTTCCCCGGAGCGAAGGGGACCGTGGGGAGGATGTCCCCTCCCGCAGCACCGGGGATGGCGGGAGGGGGGCCTGGAGCGGCCGCATCGCTGCCGCGTTGGTGGCCCGTGGAGCTGGTGGGTGGCCCATGAAGGCTGTGGGGGAAAAAGAAGGGGGCACTCGCTTCTCCCAGTGTGCGCTGGGTTCAGTGAAGTGTGGCTTCAGATTAGGTTATGTTAATTTCCGTTTGGCATCTCAGAGCATGGACAGATTAAAGAGGGTATCTGGGTTTCTGCGAGTCTCCCTTTGATGGGTCGGTGTTGGGACCGGAGGGGAGCAGGGAGCCGCTGGCCCTGGAAGGCCTCTGCTGGCTCTGCAGAGCCGGACAGTCGTGGTTCAGCCTGGGGCCTCCCTTGTCCTTGTGCTCCCTCTGTGGCAGCTGCAGGGGGGGCTGGCAGGCTGTCCCCATCGGACCTGACGCTGAATTTGCCTCCAGGCGCGGGCAGGCCTCCCGTAGCTGAGGAGGATGAACAAACCACATCAGGCCAGGGCAGGTGTGAGAGCCTTTATTAAAACAAAGAATTGGTCAAACCACCATCACCAGCCACATCCCTACCAAGACTGCAGCAGGAGAGAAAACAGACCCTCATGTCCCCGAAGGGCACGGGGCGGGGAACGCAGATGCTTCTTTGTGCGAGGTTACAGACGTGGCACGGAGCGGTGCTGTGTACGGCCACGGCAGGGGGGCCCCCTCCAGTGCCCTGGCTGTGATGGCCCAGCTGGGGCCCTGAGCCCCGGCCGTTGGCAGCCCTGGCCCTGCTCCCCGAGCACACCCTTCCACGGGGCGTGCGTTGGTCCGAGCGAGCTTTGCGGCGAGCTGCCCTCGCACAGAACCAGGAGTCTGAAAGGCTGCTGCAGGGCTGGGCTCAGCACTGTCATACCAGTGGGGACAAACCTGGGGCTCTGAACTAAAATCCTCTGCTTCCTCGTGGAAACCCTCCTCAGGAGGGCTGTGTTCAGCGTTCAGCAAGTTGTGAGGCTTCCCCTCCAGGTGCTCTGCTGCTGCTGGAGTTCAGTGTGGGCCATTTCACCCCAAAACAGACACACTCCAGATGCTGTTTCAGCTTATGAAGTACAGGTGGTCCTGCTGGCCACTGCTGTCATGGCAGCATGAAGCCACAGCTCCTCAAGTCACAATTGCCTCGAAGGCATCCTTGGTTAGTCCAGGAGGTGGACAACGAGCAGAGTCTCTTTGGGCAACTTCAAGAAAGGAAGCCTGTTGGCTTCTCTGCCTGCCTGTACTTAGGCTAGATATGGCCCGAGGGCTGTGTCCACTCTGTGATGGTTCAAATCTGTCGCCTTCACTGTCCTCTGCGTCAGGGCCAGAAATTCTGTTGCTTTGATGCTGTACCCTAGGCTGAGGGGGGTGTTACCCACTGCTGTTTCCCAGAAGATTCCACGCTGTGCTGTGGGTGTTGGTGTCTGCTGCCTGCTGACCGCAGGAGCACTGCGCACAGCCACGTGCCAGAGCATGGCTGGACACGGGCCTTTGGACTAAGGATCAAATTCCTGCCAGTGACTAAAGCTGTAGTGGGATTATTGTTTTAAATCAGATTATCAATAGCTCTTGCATCTTCTTCACTGTCAAATATCAATGGGCAGGGCCTCCTCGGTAAAAGAGCCTTGATACCGGTGTGTGTGCTTGGCCCAGCTGAGGTACCCAGTGACAGTGAGAATCTGGAGCAGTAGCACAGCCTGAGTCCCAAGCAGTGCCAGGAAACCCCCAGTGAAATCAGAGGGGTGAATCCACTGCGAGGTTTGGAAAAGAAATGTACCCAGGCCTCCAGACAGGATTATCATCTTGATGATGAGTATGATGAGGATCACCTTCCAGGCCTCTCTATCCTCTGTGCACTTCACATGTGCAACAAAAATGGGGTAGAAGATGCAGAAGACCAGGCAGGCATACACACAAACCCTGGCTAGCACCATTGCTGGTAGGCTGATGCCCATCACCTGCAGATGCTTGTACTCCAGGCACTGCAGCTCCCTGGCCGTCTCGTTCCACAGGCAGAAGTTGTAAAAGCCAATGCGTTTGTCAGGGAGGTTGACCAGGTTCCCAGCTTCCCACAGCAGCGCGTAGAGCATCAAGGCCAAGGTCCCGGCAGCCTCCAGGAGGGTCAGCATAGAGAGCAGGTGCCCATTGCACCTCTGTCGCAGCAGACTCATCCTGATCCCTGCATGCTCTCTTGATACCATGGCAAAGCCTGCTGTGGGGACGTCTACTGTAAGACACGAAGGGGGGGACGACCCATTGGTTGGTGCGTGTTACGGCACCCCTCTCACGACGTGCTCTGAGCCTGTCCCCCAGGGGGACTCCCCTTGCAAGCAGAGCAGGAGGGTTTCAGTCCTGCCTCTGACTGTGCTTCGCGTGTGTTACTGGGTCAAGGTGGGGTGCATTTTTGGTCACAGCAAAGGTGGCTTAATGATTTCCCGTGTGTGGACCAGCACTGGGAGGACAGTATGGCTTGCTTTGCACCCTGGTGTCATGTTGGGCAAGAGAGGCATTTGTCAGCAAGCTGCAGTGATGGGAGGGGAGCAAAACACTGCTATCTGGTAAGGAGGGGGTTAACAGCTGTTTTGGGAAAATGCTTTTCTTTCAGTTCTGGTTAGCCAAGGACATCCCTTGTGATCTTTGGACGACTGAGTAAAATGCAGGCATGGCACTGTCTGAAGTGCAGGGCTCCCTCTGCTTCCCCACCCCCCCTTCCCAGAGCTCCAGGACACCCGATGCCATTGGCGCCACCGTTTCCAGCATCCGCACGCCCCTGAGGCCCTTGCATGCCCATACATTTCTGGGCACAGCAGGGCTCATCACCCACAGCCCTGCTCCCCACCAAGGCTAGAAGACATGGTGCCCCGCTGTCCTGGTTGCCTGAGGAGTGATGCCCCACATGCACAGGCACTTGTCTACCCGACCCACCTGCAGCCCCTCACCCTCCTCTGGGGCCCGGGGGAGATGGGTGCTATGGAGACAGACCTGGGATTGCAGTCCTCATTCCTCTCCCAGGCTGCCTGGCAAACTGGACTTCCTCTCCCAGAACTGTGGACTGTGCTCAGGGCCCTCTTGCAGGCTTCTGCTTCTCTCTGAAAAATGGGATCAGGGAAGGGGTATCACTGGCTGCAGAGCGACGCGGCATTGCAGCACTGGCCGCCTGTGTCCGCACAAAGGCGCAAACACAGGGCAAGAAGCTCAGAGACCTTGGCTTCACGCTCAGCCTCTGGTCTGGGGCTCTTCAAATAATCCCTTTCCTGCCTTTGCCAAGCATTCTCTCTTGTGAATCATTTACCACCTTCCCTCAAGAAGTTCACATCGGTCCTGCTGTCTCTCCTCCACTGCCCACTGCCTGGTGGTATATCATCCCAGTGTCCTGGATGTCCCAGGCCATCACCCCACAGCTGCTTGTGGATTTCGCACAGCCTCAGAGTTTTTAGAGTGCCAGGAGAGACCCCACTCACACCTGTACCTGTTGCCTGGCTGCAGTTCTGGTGACTAGAGAATCTTCAGCATTCCATTCCCACTCCCTGTCTCCCAGGATACTTGGGAGTGGGGTACCTGTGTTTAATGTGCACAGGGATAAAGCTTCTCTGTTCCAAACTGCTCCTCCTCCACCGTGATGGCCAAGAGGAGCGCACACACAGCATGGAAGGGGGTCAGAGCATGTAGACACCAACCTGTCCCCTTCCCCTGGTTGACACCTCACTTCTTCTTGTAGCTTCTCTTGGAGGTCTTCTTCACAACAGGCTTCTGGAGAGACTGGAAGGTCACTTGGAGGATACCCATTGTTCTGAATCTACAATGAAGACACAAACGACCAGGAAAATATCCGTGCTCGTGCCCAGAGCATGCTGCAGCATGAGACCTCACACACATGTGATTTCACCAGGGTTTGTCTTGCCCCTGACATTGCCTCTTGGTTTATCTTTACACGTGCTCTCCTGCAGCCAAATATTGCTGCTCTTCCTCTCCCTGTCCCGCAAGGGCTCCTGCCTACCCACTGTTCTCCCTGCCATCCTGCCTCGCAGCCCTCAGAGGGAGAACAAGCCACGCTTGGAGCGGGCTCTCAGATAGCTGACCAGCTCCCAGGGATTTCTCGGCACTCGGACCTGGCACCAGTACAGCCCAGCCAGCTCCTAGCTGTGCCCACCCACCAACCCTCGCTGTTGTGTTTCTTGAGACCGGTTTCCTAAGGAAGACAGGCTTGTAGAAACATGGGCTTTTTGTTCAATCACCTCACGTTACCTTTTACTTACCCTCCCACCTCCATAAAATATAAAAGCAATTAAAAATTGCCTTAGTGGCACATGTTTACTAGAAAGGGAACAGAGAATTAAATTCCTAGCAGGTTTGTAGAAATACATGGCAGGGGTGGAGGACAGCCACCTCGGAGACCCTGTGCTGCCATGTGATCTCTGCATGTGTGACAGCCCAGGGAAATCCCATGGTTCCTCTGCCCTCTCCTTTGCTTTAAGGCTCATGTCTTTCAGGACCTACTTTCTTTCCCGGTGATGCCCCTCTGTTCACTCCATCAAAGTGCAGACAGATTTGTCCCTCAGACTCCTGCTGCCTGCCCAGGCCAGCAGGTGCGTCCCCATCCCTCCGTGTGACTGTGACAGGGATAGAAACATGCATACTGTGGGTGCCCTGGGCCAGCTGAGGCAGAGAGCCCACAGCTGGCCTGGGGTTAGTGTACGGTTTGGCAATGAAAGCTGAGACCTGCTGCCCCGCCACCCCCCCAGCCATAGGCACGGCATCCGTGAGCTCTGCAGCTCGGCCCGAAGCCGCTTTGGAGGCAGCCTGGCTGAGGAGCAGGGGATAAACAGGAAAGAGCTGTCATTTGGTGTGCAGCTGGGGCTTTGCCCAGACATCTGCAGCCCTCCGGCTCTAAGGAGACTCCTGCACCTTCGGACTGGAGAGTCTGCGGCTCTAACTCAAAGGTGCAAGAAAGAGGAACGCAAGTATGGCACAGCGGGCCCCAGTCTGGTGTCACCCCCTTGTTTCTGGGCAGGCATCGCTGGAAGGACTGGACTTCACCGTGGGAGAGCTCCGTGTCTCGGTCTCCCGGGCAGGGTGGGGCTCCATGTTCACGGTGCAGGAGCTCCCGGGGCTGTCTGTGTGCGAGATGGGGCTTGTAGGGACCTTCTGTGCTGCCGGGAGCGCGCAGCCCTCCCCTCTGCTGGCTCCTAGGCAGGCGAGCACCTTCTCAGGTCGGGGCTGTGCCTCTCCCCAGCAAGCTGCTGGCTGAGAGCTGGGATGGGGAGGCCACGGCACGCAGCTACAGGGCAGGGTCTGGCCTCCGTGCAGGGACAAACATCTCTGTGGAGCCGCCAGACCCTGCTGCAGTGAACAGGCTGAGTGCAAAGCAGCAAGGGAATGGGCATTTTCTGTTGCACTGAAGAGCCCCCCAGAAGACTTGGCTTTTCTGCGTCCCCCCTCCTTGGCTGCTGGGGGGAGCAATGCCGTGCAAGAGTGGTGGGAAAGAAAGGCAGCTTTGGACTTGGCACCTTTCCTTCAAACCGCCCACCCCCCCTCCAGGATCCCTCTTTCCCCCTCAGGCGGGGTCGGCTGTGGGGAAACCACAGGTGAAGAAAGGCTGCGGACAAGCTTCGGATTGCTGGCAAACAGAGACCAGCCAGAGGCACACAGACCAGGCAGGGGAGGGAGGAACTGCCCCCAAAGCGTCCCACAGTTGGGGAAGGACCTGCTCCCTCCCAGACATTTGCACCCTGCAGCACCACTTCTTCTCCTGGCAGCTCTCCCCCCCGATGCCAGTGGCATTAAAAAGACGGAGGACCCAGCGGAGGATACTTACGGGCTGCCCATGGGGCTGGGTGGGGAGCTGAAACTCGCAGGAGAGGGCCGAGGCGCTGCCCTGGCCAGCTGAGCCGGTCTGTGGCTGCTGACAGCCCCTGTCGTGTCACAGCCCGCTGCCTTTGCTTTCTGTTTCGGTTTTGCGAGCCATGGGAGCCTGAGGCAGGGCTCCTCCCTGATAACCGCGTTATCTAATTACCAGCAAGAAAACAACTCAAGCTCAGCCACTGCCATCCGAGCTGGGGGCAGGTTTGCGCTTTCTTCTTCTGGCCAGTCTAACCGACGTGAGTAACTGATCGGGTGAAGCTCACCCAGGAAAGCTGTGCTACTGGAGTGGCTTGGGTGTCCGTGGGGGCTGAGTGTTTTGTTTGGACACTCGTGTAGAGGTGGCTGACCTTCCCAGTGCTGACCCGGCTACCGCAGCACTGCTGGAGTTCACTGACCACTTTGCCCTTCTGAACTTTGAATGCTGCTCCCCTCCCTGGGTTTCCCAGTCCCAGCTTCGCCCCAGCTCCCCCTTGCCCGCAGACACAGTGCCTGCGCAGGCTCGTCGCAGGAGAAGCGGCAAGCTGCCTGCTGCAACAGGAAACCTGTTAAACCTCGAGTGATGTAAGGGGCAAAACTCTCCTTTTACTCCTCCTGGCCAGATCCAGAACCATTTGTCCTGTCCTATAAGCAGCCTTGGTGGTGGGTCTGTTAGAGGTGTGTGTTGGGGGGTGATACGTGTGGGACACCTAACCATGAAGCTGTTCCCAGACTTCCACCTAGTACTTCCATGTTTAGGCATGGCCTGGAAACCTCCAGGTGGTACATACACTGTGACCCTGTAATATCAGCACCCACGTCCAAGGGCACGAGAAAGGTGAAAGGAAGTATGAAAGGAAGCCCTAAGAGAAGCTCAATGGATAGAGCCATCAGGCAGGTGGCAGTGGGGAGGTGCCTTCCTATCTGGGCTGTTCGCATGGAATAATTTTAGCTTTGAGAAGGACAAGGATCTTGATCGAGGTGGTTCAGATCACAGGTGGCTTGGACAGGGGTTATGCTGGGAGAAATCAGGGACAGGGGCAGAAGGCTTGCAGCAAATACAGCCTAGCAGGCCATAGCTGCTGAGCTGAATGTGGTGAAAGGCAGGGACACAGAAGGAAACCTTGGGGCTGAATGTGTCCATCATTTAACACTGGGGCTGCTGACTGGGAAACTGAGGTACTAGCAGAGACCACCAAGGCAAGACTTATGTTCCAGTGAGGAAACATGCACTGGCAGGAGGCATGTTTGTTCTCTCAAGACGGACGGTCACGCAGTTTCGCCTCATGCCACTCACTTTTATGTCATTCGGGAAGGAAAAGTGTGTATGGGTCTGATGATCAGCCAACTCCTTAACTGACCTCAGTACCGCAGGGGAGGTTGCTGTTTTGCTGCCACAGGCAGAAAGCACAGGGAGCTCCTTCACAAATGCCCTCACTTTGCATGGGGGTCCTGTTTGCTGGGGTTATCAGGCTGACTGCCACAGTGGGTCTGCTCCATCATGCCACAGCACTTTTCCCTTGAGCCACTGTCCTCCTAGACAGGTGTCTGATCCCCTTCCCATCTCCCATGCCTTAGCCTTCATGAGTGTGACAGATGGCCACTCGTCCTGGCTTTAGCCTTTGTACACACCTCCATCTCTCTGGCCTTCTCTGCACTGCTCAGAGCAATAAATACACCGTTTGGGAGTGTTGCTTTTGGAGTGTGTCATCCTCCTGGCCTGAGCTGGTTGCCTGATTGTGCACCTATGGCAGGAGCACTCCTCAGTGTTTCCCGAGGAGCCTTGTGTCTCCTCCCCTGCAGGGTCTCTGTCTCTGCTGCTTGTAATGCCTCCTGGGATGCCACAGCTGCTAGCAGGGAGAGGTACAGCCAACCTCTAGCTCGAGACTTGCCCTTGGTGCCACTGACCTTCTTATTCTGGAGGCCTGCTTCCACATCTTTGGCTGCCTCTCTGGCAGGTAGTTCCCCTGCCTTTTCCTTCCAGGTGTTTGGGCAGGGAAGGTTGTGCCCGAAGGCTGGGCGGGATGGAATATGCCCTGCTGTTCTTCTTCCTAGGGACATTTTACGGATGCGGTGTAAGGCTGTCCCTTTGGCTTCAGGTGCTCAAAGTCTATCTGATGATGCAGCAGTTGGGGTTGATAGGTGTGATGGGTGTGGGTAAGCAGGGGGATGATCAACATGTCTGATGGCGAAGGAATGGGAAGGGAGAGGAGAAAGAGAGGAGGGCTTCTACATATGTGTGCCTGGCGGTAGGAGAGATCGGATGGAGTGTTTGGACTGCTGGGGCCTGGTGTCTATGGGTGGGAAAGCGGAGTCCTTCCCAGCAGCCAGCTTCCACTACATTCCTGTGCAATTTTTTCTTCTTGGAATAGTTTCCTGAAATAAAAATCTAATTTGTTGTGTGCATTAAGGAGATTTTCACGTGGCTTTACAGTGGAATGAACTCCTCTGCAGCTCTTGGTTTCTTGCGGTGCAGTTAAAGCACACACAGCAATAATCTCAGCAGTTTGAGTAATATTAGCAATCACAAGTAAAGCATGAGATGAACTGGGACTTTCAAAACTGTTTTGCTTATTTTAGCCTGCTGTTTTAAAAGTAAGCTACTATACTTGCTTCCTAGAAGTTGGTCATGACCCTGGTTCTAATTCCTGAGGGAATCTCCACAGCAGATCTCTGTTCCCTCTAGTTACTCAATTACCCTCTCAGCTATAGCTAGTATTGCCCCATTGTAGCAGACTTGAAGGATTCCTGAGAGAGAATTGGAGAGACTGGAGTTCACTTCATATTCTTCTATGTTGTTTAGAAATCACTTTTATTCAGAAGAAGTTGTAAAATGACTTTTTTTTTCTCATCTGTAATCTGCTGACAACTAAAAATAAATAAATCTCAGTGAAATGAAACCAGCTGTAAGCTTTTCTTCCTACAGCTGTCAAGAGGAGGTTGCTGGCTACCTAAGAG